TATAAATGTGCTAAGGCATCTAGGTGACCAAATTGGTTAAAGGGAAATGAAAATAGGAATTCTAAAAAGAAAAAAAAAGGGGATAATAAAAATGAAAATATTTACTGGCTAACAGAAAGCTGAGAAAAATGATTATCTGACATTTTTCCTCCGGAAAATCCTTTCCTGTACCCCAACCCTTACAGCACTCTGTGTATATCTCAGTACTTAAATTCTTTTATTCATAGTGAAATGTTCTCTGCACCTGCCTCCTCTCACATAAGCATCTTTTCAGGGCAGAGAATTTGTCTATTTTTATGCCCATCTTATACACAAGTACTTAGCACAGAGCATTTAATATTTGCTTAATAAACTATTTGTTATATATATATTTATTAACAAAGATTTAAAAAGTTATGAGTAAAATATAACAAATATCTCTTGTAGATCAATGCTCAAATAAGTTTTATAAAATCCAAAATAAAGGCTCTTATTTAAAGCAGTTAAGTAAAAATATATAAGAAGCTTTGTTTTCTTACTTAATCTACAAGTTCTTCTTGAACAACTTCAGTAAAGAAAAAAATGCCTGGGAAAAGTAACAGTCTCGTCAAATAACATATAAAAATATGTTAAGGAAGTTTATATAAACTGTAAATTGTTTAAAGTCATTTCAGTGTATAGTAATAAAAAACAGAATTAAAAAAATGCTAAAATTAAGACAAAACAATTTAAAAATATCAAATAAAAATACTTTCATCTAATATATATTTCTGTGGACATCTTATCTGATAAAATCATTGTAAGTACTTTTATTTTCAAAATAATTTGTTTTATCAAAACATTATTAATTTAACATATATGTAAGATAACAATAGAAGATGCTTTTCTAAACCTGTGCAGAGCTCATAGATAAATACCAATATAAATGTTGCTGGCACACAAAGTAAGAGCACATTCACAAATGACATGAAAAATAAATTAGAACTCACAAGACAATGCTAGCAAATTTCTCCTGTGGTGTAAGTGAAGGGGGAGAATACAAAAAAAGTTGTTTTTTCCATGGAAGGTTCGAACAACTTGAGAAGTAATCTAAAAATATTATCAGTCTACAGCACACATGCTACTAAAATTAAATCCGAAGGGGCAATTTTTAAATTAGGTGACAAATGGACAATCTCATTAAGAAATACATGATTATGCATATATTTAAAATGGGCTTACCTCCTTAAACATTGCCTATTTTAATGTGTATCTATGCTTCACATTTTAGGCACAAGAAGAAAAGCAGCACTCAGTATATCTGAAGGTTTGTACTTTAAGTGAAGAAATAAATATTTGAATTTGTACTGCTAGCTAAGAAAAGACAAATTTCTTCTTACTTTCCCAAGTTACTTCTCCATCCCTTTACCATGTTTGCTTTTCATTTTTCAGCATCTTAACTAATTTTTCTGACTATGTAACAGGGAAACAGATTTCAATCAGGCATTCATCCCTTCTCATTCTTGTGTTATGGATTAGTCCCTCACATGCAGGGTGGCAGGTCTATCTATTCAAAAGCAGCCCTAAGACCTTGTGTGTATAATAGCTCCAGGAGGCTGGTGAAGAGAGTGTACGATGTTGGTACCGCCCTGAGGAGCATTGCAGAGGTGGAACAGACATGGGTGAGACTCACAAAGCATTAAAAGCAAAAAGCTTCAAGCTTGACTCATGTCATGTCAAGAGTAAATATGCTGGGAAGGAAAGGAAGTTTAAAAGAAATGGAGATCTCAAACAATGCTAAGCTTACTGAGAGATGGAAGAAAAAAATTCATAGATCTTTACGTATGCTGCCCAGAGGGTGAAGTATATGGCTTTGCTCTTTCAATAAATCTGCTAGTCCTGTCTCCGAGGAAGAGTGCATTTTGATTATGCACAGCCTCTTTCCCAGTCCTCCAAACAACCGCTACACATCTGGCTGAAAATTATCAAATGTATCCTGTGTTTATTTCTATATTTTTATTTTTATTCATACTAAAATGTTTTCAGTATCTGTGTAGCATGTTTTAGATTCATATGTAACAAGTTTTTACACATCTAAAATACATGTAAAATTTATAAGGTTTCTCTAGGTTCTTTAAATAGTTTGCATAATCCCACCAATGCGGTTTCTTATTTTTTGGATAAAGAGAAGACATTTTACTTTACAAGTACAATATTATACTGATTTTATCCTTTCCTAGTAAAATGGGAGTATTAGCACTCATTTCAAATGGTTATGAGAACTGAGAGAATGCTTTTAAGGTGACTAGCACCTTACCCAGCACTCCAGTGTCCAACGACTGCTATATATCATCACCAGAAGACAATTTGATCAACTGTGTGACAGAATCATCACAGAAGAGTTAACATTCAACACTACATACTAAAATCTGTCCTTAGAACTTGGCATGCACTCAATAACCATAGAATCTGTAACTGCATTCCTTTTGAGGCTAGTTGTAGAACTGTTAGTGTCAGCGGTGACCAGATACAAACTCCATTCCTACCTACTTTAATGTGGCTCAAACCCCACAACCTCCAATAAAAACTATTTAGCCATGATGAAAATAAAAATGCAAATATAAAGGCACTTTATAAATATAAGGTAGTATAATAGTTTATTTCTAATTTTTATTATGGAACTCTTCAAATGTATGAGGATAAATTAAAGTCCCTACTTATGCACTATTTTCAGTACCAAAATTTTGGTTACAACCTCTGACTTAAATAGACTTCACAATAAAACTAAGCTTTATTTAAGAAGTTTCTTTTAACACTAATCTTCTTGCACTATACCCCAAATAACAGAAAGTAGAGAATGATGATGCTACATATGTGATATGAAACTTTCTGTAGCATAAAACTAGCCTGCTAAAACCACTTCCCAAAATTTACCAATAGGTAGGGTGCCACACGACTCACACTCAGCCAAGCAGATGTGCCAAGTCACAGGAGTCAGGCATGATGAGGGGAGCAAAGGGTGGGGGACAGGATGGCACGCGGGGGTTTGTCAATCTGGAGGAAGCAGTGGTTGTGACACTTAGGAGAGGGCCAGGACATCAGAGACACCTGGGCCCCTGGTGACAGAACCACCATGCTTTCCACGGAAGAGGCAGCTCTGCGGCAGGAAGGTTCTAGGAGTTGTTTCTAGAAGTTCAAAACACAGTCTGTTCCTTTAGACCTCCCAAACTGTCTGAGAATTATCTTATTCCCTTGAATAAATCCTTCTCGATTTAAATAAGCTAACCTAGATTCTGATGTCTGAAACTAACAACAAATCAAACACAATGGAGCATTTCAATGAAAGTCAGTACTTTCCTAAAGTTAAAAAAAATATGTAAAACTAAAACAAAATCATGGTTTTTAATAATCTTCACTGGAGTGTTATACCAGTGCTACTTTATGAGAAAAGGTCAATGAAAACAGATTTAAAATATTATTTAATAATACTGGTGATAGTATAAATAATTTCGAAGAATTCCCTTATAGATTGATCATTTTCATGAAGATTTTCTTTTTAACTTTCAAAGGTAACAATAGCCAAATGTAGAGAAAGTTTAGGACTTAAAGCTGAAATGAATGGAGAAAATAAAACTTTGCTTTTCATTAATTAGCTAAATGAATATCATGATACCCCAAAGTCACAAATCTGGACTCAAAATAATTTAAGTTTTAAAAATTATAGTGCTTGCTTCAGCAGCAAATATATTAAGTTTTAAAAATTATAAAACCAAGCCAGGCATGGTGGCACATGCCTACAATCCCAGCACTCAGGAGGCTGAGGCAGGAGGACTGATGTGAGTTCAAAACCAGCCTGGGCTACATTTGTGAATTCCATGTTAGTCTCAACTACATAGTGAAACCGTCTCAAAAAACCAAACCAAATCAAACCAAACCAAACAAAAACAAATAAAAATAAAAAAATAAAACCAACTTCAATTAGAAGAAAATCACTCAAATTCTCAAAGCACCTTGTGTTGACATCACATGGATATACAGTAATAATTAATGGATCAAAATCAACTGAAACAATTTTAAAGAAACCATAAAATCTTACATGTCAGCCTGAACAAAATATTTAAAATCATCAGGTTAGAGAATCAACATTAACACAATTAATCATTTTTATGTATACTTTTTAACAGTATAATTTTCAATTCAAGTTCCAACTTTTAAGGCTGGATCATAATGTAAAAACCCACAATCAAAAAACTATATAAATATTCACATAATTACTACCTAGGTATATTCCCTCTAAGCAAAGCCCACATTTTATTAACATTCTGGGTCTGGTGATAAAAGATTATCTTAAAATTACTAAACATTTACAAATTACTTAATGGAGGTAAAAAAAAAAGGTTATCAAAATACAGCAATTCTGGCTTCATTGCAGGTACTTCAAATATGTCATTAACCTATGTAACTAATCATTTCATAGAATCATTGCCATTTTTCTTAAAGCAGTTAAATAGCCTGAGTTACACATTACAGAACTCAGGTAACTTGAACAAAGAAACAAATAAATGGCAGAACCAAATGTGAAGCTAGATCTAACTTGTCTTCAAAGATCATACCTTTTCTATCACATCAGGCTCTTTCCTTAAAGAAAGATAAATCAGTAATTATTTTTCATACATGAATATAATATACTCTATCAAATATATATATAAATTAAGTGTTAAGAATTATTGGAAGAAGTAGGATATGAACTTTTGTCTTTGAAGATAAACTAGAATGCTGTTAATTGTAAGATAGGAAATAATAAAAAAAAGAAGAAAAATTATGTTAACCATGTTTTTCTTCATACATTCTCAACTAAAAAGTAACTTTTTAAAAGTCTACTCATCTCTTAAAATAGATCTATTTAATGGAAAGCAAAGGCAAAAATAGGCTGTCAAAGGCAATGGCTGTATTCATTTATCACAAGCCTGGTAATTAATTCATTAGCTTGTCAATCACCAGCACAGCTAGTGAAATTTGTGAAGGGAAGATGAATAGCTTACTGTGCACGTGGATGTCTTTGTGATTTTCAGGGAAAAATCTGAAGAAAACTCCAAATCTGAGATAGATGTTGTATGGCAATCTATATGCTACGCATTAAAAAGGAGAGAAAGGAAGAAATTAGCAAAATATTTTTTAAAAAGAAAAATAATACTTTATGCACAGAAGGATTACTATAAACCAGTGTTTTATAGAATTTCATCATTTACAAACCATATTGGGGATTACTTCCAGATTTAAGGAATATTGGAGCATTACCATTTAATTTTTCTTTACATTACATTAGTATCTTTTACTTAAGACTTCTTGTAAGCAATAATGTATATTAAGTCATGGCTCTGATCTGCTAGTTTTCCTAAGACACACTAAATAAATACTTTCAAATAGAAATGTTTTTCTGAGTTTACCTAAAAATATTTTGCCTGCCACCTGTGGTATCCCTGTGACCTCTGCTATAAACTAACAATAAACACTTTCAGAGGAAATGGCAAGGTGAAACACATACCAATGAGAGAAAAAATGCTATAAAATTCATTTCTGATGCATTTAAAGGTATGTTTACTAGATCTTAGGAAAAAAAAAAAAACACAGTTCAAACAAACAGCAAAACTAGGGCTGGGGGACTGGGGATTTAGCTCAGTGGCACCATGTCTGCCTCACAAGTGCAAGGTCCTGAGTTTGATCCCTAGTACCAGGAAAAACAAAACAAAACAAAACAAAACAACAACAACAACAACAACAGCTAGGGCTAGGGATGTAGCTCAATGCAAAGGCCCTGTGTTCAATCCCCAGAATTACAAAAGGAAAAAAAAAATCACCGAATGTCTTTATTTTGAGATTCTCCCCTGGTTCAAATTCTTCACTTTGGATAGGGAAGAAATTCCCTTTCAGTGATGTGGCCTGACCAGAGGGGGATCCAAAGGCTGCTGAGAGCCTTGAGTACACCGCACGCAACTCCATGAATGCAAGTCACAGAGTGCACACCAGAGGCATTATTCTATGGAAAACCATTTGAGAAAAAATGTAAAGTTACATGTTGGTTTCCTTCATCTGCAGGAAGCCCAGGGAACATAGAACAAATGATATTTACTTAAGTGATTTTTTGTAAAGGTGTGTCTACTTGCTAAAATACCTTTCTTTGCTTTTCAGTTGTAAATTTTCTATTCCAACTATTTACTCATAATAGTTTTGGAATTTAGAGATCGCTAGAGAGAAATTAGCACTAACTTCCCAACTCTTCTCTTTCTGCTCCACCTCAAGCCGAGTTGGTTACAACTGTACACAATCACCCTGAGCCAAAGAGCCCAAAGAAAAGCCCTTCCTTCCGTCCATGGGCCCCAGCGTGGAACAGTCCTGTGTTATCAACCTGTTTTGTTTCTTAAAAACTGAGTGTACTTTCAATCAGCTTGCTCTTTCAAGAAATTTCTTTCTTACTGTTCTATGCTAACCACTTACCAGTCCAATTACTGAAATACAGGATGACCAAAAATTATAAACATTTTGTTAATTTTTATAAGATAACAGGAAATATAGAGACAACAACTTTGTCAGATTTATTCAATATAAGAATCAACTGGCTGAAGTGACACCTGCCCAAGTGATGCTCAGGATAGGGTGTACGGAGCAAATGCTCTGCCTGAGTGATGCTCAGGGTAAACTGTTAAGTGGTTAATTTTAATACTTATTCATTTAATAAATTTAATAAACATTTACTACTTTGTGTAAGGGACAATTATTAATGCTATGAAATTAACAGTATGACTAAAAAGAGGAGACCATATCCTAAATCTAATTGTAAGAAAAGTAAAACAACTGTTCACTGTAAAGTTATTAGCGAACCCATGTAGAATGAACAAAAATTCAAGATAAAACCAGTTTAACATGGTAAAAAGAAAATAATGAAACATAAAAGGAATTAAGAAATGCCAGAACAATAAACGTTAAATTTCAGGGGGAAATTTGTTATAATTGTTTAATCTTAAAGGGCTAGAAGAAATTTGATTATGAAATTCTTAATGAAATATAATATAAATGAATTAATTTGCTGAGGGACGATATATAAAGCCAAGTACTAGTGAAGCAGAGGTGACAATATTGCAGGACTTTTGTTTCATTTAGCCCAAGTAAAGACAAAGGATTCAACCAGTTCAGAGCTGGATTTGAAGGATTATAAAATTGAGTAAAACAAGTTTAAAAACATAGATGAGAATCCAAATAGACAAGAATCAAGTGGTAAAATCACCTTGAGTTATTTCACATTGATTAAAGTTGGAAGGGCACTGTTTTCAAAGTCCACATATAAAATAAATATAGAGTCAGTCCTGTTTCTGCAGTCCTACATCCTGAGACCAGACCAACCTTAAATTCAAAATTTGTATTTTAAAAAAGTTGCATTGTATGGAATATGTACAGGCTTTACTTTTTCTATTATTCCCTAAACAATACAGTATGTTAACTATTTTAACAGCACTGACACTGCAGTAACTATGAGTAATGAGAGAAGAATCTGAACATCTCTGGATTTTGGTATCCACAGGCTCCCCCATAGACAGACCAACCCCCATAGACAGAGAGGAGCAACTACACTCACATCAAATAATGAACTAAGAAAAATGGCAATGCTCTTACTTTTTTAAAAATTGGTAAAACATTTACCTTTATACCACAAGGGTCTGAGATAAGAGTCTTTGGATCTAAAACTTCCACAACCGCTTCTAGAATAACTGCTTTCTTCATGCAGGACATGTTGAAGCCATAGACATTGTCCCAGAAAGCAATTCTATCCATATGTTTACTCACATCGCTCACTGCTACGAGGCTGATGGTGCAGATGTCAGGGTAGACTGCAAACAACACAATGTCCAGTTATGTAGCATCATTTCCTTTTGTGAGAAAATATAATTAAAAAAAGCTAAACATATATAAATGCCAGACCTATCATTGTATCAAGGGGAAATTAATGAAGGTATAGGTCAGGGACATCAATCAAGTTCCCTTTTACAGCTCCTTTAAAACATACCCATTACCACGAAGGTAAAATTGAAATGGGATTCCAATTATGGACTCATTAAAATTATTAAAACAGGGTGATAAAATTATATCACCCAGAATCATACATTTACCAATATTAAAACTTAAAATATGCTGACTTTAAAAAGTCAATAAATCTTTACTTTATATATTCCTCTAAAAATTCAGAAAGAGGCCAATCATTCAAATAGATATGTAGTACGCAAAGCATCAGGCTGGGGATTTAGCTCAGTGGTTCCAGCGCTTGCCTTGCAAGCACAAGGACCTGAGTTCAATCCCCAGTACCAAAAAAAAAGAAAACTTAAACATAATAAAAGTATATCTTGCTAAGTATTCATCAGCAGTTATTCTTGTTAAATAAACTCATGAGAAGCCACTGTCAGGGCCAGGGATTTAGCTCAGCGGTTCGGTGGCCTGCCTTGCAAGTGCAAAGACCTGAGTTCAATCCCCGGTACCAAAAAAAAAAAAAAAAAA